AGTTAGTTATCCGGAAATCAACTGATAATTGGTTGTGGGAACTAACTCTTTTTCTGTGTAAAGGTGCGGGGGTCACGAGAAAATTGTACAGAGCTGGATTTTCGGGGATCCAAACTGCAGGACAGGACTTGTAGGGACACAAGTCTAAGCCTGTTCGCCCCCTGAGATTGACTATGTAATGCCGCAGGTGGAACGGCTGGTCAATGTTCGCTGCCAAAGGGACCCCGCCTGGACGCTCGAGCTTCTGCAGCGCAGTGCGCTCACGGTGGAGCAGCTGGAGTTGGTCGACCCCGGCAGAGGACACCTGAGCGCGGCGAGCAACATGCTCCAGCTGTGCAAGCTGTTCGTGCAGTGTCAAGCTACCCTGCTGCCCGCGGCGGACTTCGAGGTGCCCACATCGCCGCACAGCCACCTGCGCTGGCTCAGGGTGTACGGCCTCTGCCGCGCAACGACGCAGTCCCTGCTGCGGGCGCACGCAGACGCGCTGGAGGAGGTGGAGCTGAGGGTGGGGACGCCGACCACGAAACATCAAGGGTGGCCGTGGAGCTGCAGCGACCTGCATTACATGCTGCGGGATTGCAACCTGCAGGCGCTGCGAAGACTCGTGCTGAAACGGCTGAACTGCACGCACACGCCAGCCGCTTGCAACAAGCAGTGCAGCGTGGTGGAGATGGAGCTACCCAAAGCCAAGGTGCTGTGCAGCATGTGTGACGATGTGGAGGAGGAAGACTTCTAGGGATATATCGTGAGAGCATGTATTGTTTCCATACGAGTCCATCTCAAATGAGTCGCTTTTAAAACACAAACAGTCAGTGAGCTGGCGCGTACACACCGAGACCAAGGGGTCTCAACGCGGAATCTGATATGTGCGAATGTGCCCGCAGCTTCCGCAATCCTGAAGCCAAAAACATTATGTTCTGCTTAACTAATACAAAAACTAAAACTTTTGAGAAAAATGTTTTGTTGTTAGGTTGGGAATGCTTGCCGCTGACCCATAGAATCCGTGTATCCGTACTTAGATGCTATATCCAGAAGTCATGAAAAACGCACCAGCTTTATGCAAGCTTGACCACCTCGCGTAAAAGGCCTCGGGATATCTCGCCATAAAACACTATGTTACGCTGCGACGCGGGTGCGGTACTCCGAGACGGTATCGCTTTGCGAACTGTTTTGATCTCTAATGCTTAACTTATCAAATAAAAATACCTCCAAAGAATTGTAAGTTTTGACACCCATGTAACTGAACAAGACGGATTATAATCTGCCGTACGCGCCACCGCCTGTGACCCTCTGTGAGGCTGCAATAAGTAACGCCCTGTGAGGCTGTGCGCTGCGGACTGCCAGTACTCACCCTGCCGACCATGATCCTCGGGGCGGACCTGCCGCCGCCGCCGGGCTGCTCCATGTCGAGGTCGCTCCGCTGCCGCTGGCTGCCGTTGGCTGCCGCTGGCTGCCGCTGATTTGGCCCTCCCGCCGCGCCGCCTACGCCATCGCACGGGGCGAGGACACGCCCTGTCGATAGAACACCTGCTCAGCGACATGCAAGACGGAGGAGCAGAGGAAGGACGGGAAAGGAAGTTGTGTAAAGGGGAGGGGGCCCTTCCCCCTCCAACCAAAACCAAGCAAAACTTTTCACGAGCATTATTTTTTTACTCAAGAATTTTTTTGTTCAGATTGACAATGGGCCGCACATCGGGGGGCTTGTTCGTGACGCGCCTGTCGCTAAGGGGGGAGGGGTGGACAAAAGGGTTGGTCACGGCACGTAACGTAGCGCGGCTGTATCCACGGGCGTGGCGGGCTGCTATTCTGTATAAGTCTAGGGCGACTTCAAGTCACCTGAACCATGACTCCCGGCTACCAGCCATCAGCCAAGTCCATGTATTACAGATTACAGAATAGAGATCATACTGATCCAGGCCGGCATGTAGGATACTTTGGAGAACAATAATACGAGAGCGATTCGACTACTGCAGCAGCCCATGAAATCACAGCTAGAGAGGGACAGCCCCCAGCAGATAGTGGCCCACAGTCTGCGGCCCGTACC